CCCCACCCCACCGCCAGCAGGAAGCAAAGGCTGCGGCCCGGGAGACACTCACCCTCCATTGCATATTTCATGTCCTGAGCAAAGAGGTTCCACATCACCTCGGCACTGATCTTCCCCACGTTCAGCTCCTGGGGGAACCTGGCCGGGCGGGGGAGGGATGAACACAATCGTACAGAACGGAGCCCAGCCCAGTGCTTCCGGCAGAGGCGGCCTCCCTGGGGCCCGTGCAGCCCAGCAAAGCCACAGGGAGAGCCACCCACGGGCCACACAGGCCTTCCCAGGACACCCCAAGACTCCAGTTCACACCGAACAGGCAGGGACAGCAGCAGACGAGGGATGTTAAGGACTAGTCGACTAGCCGCTAAGCATTTGCTAGTTGACTAGTCGATCCCCCCTCCCCTATGAGATAGAGGCAGCCTCCGCGCGTTTCAAAGGGGAAGCCAGGGAGCCTGAGGGCAGCTGGGGACTCCCTGGCTGATCCTTGGCTCCACGCGGCATTTCCCCAGAACCCGGGGTCACTCGGAGTCCCCCGCTGACCCCGGCTCCACGGCTTTGAAACGCACAAGAGCCCACGCTGGGGACTCTTGTACATTTCGAAGGAGGCGCCAGCGGGGGCTCTTGTACATGTCAAGGCAGGCGGCAGCGGGGGCTCTTGTACATGTCAAGGCAGGCGCCAGCGGGGGCTCTTGTACATTTCGAAGGAGGAATGCGGAAGTGCCTATCGACTAGTCCATGGAAATTCCATCAACTACTTGACTAGTCAGTTACCCACATTTGAAGTGGAGACAGGATTCCCCAGGCAGGGGCACGCTCAGAGCTGGCCAAGAGGTGCAAGGAGGGAAGGCCCCTATGGAGGTCTCTCCCTAGGGTAGGCCAGAGTCCCGAGTTCACACGTCGATACGCCCAGCGCAGTGTCCACCCACCAGCTCAGCGCTCGGTTTCTCTGCCACTGCCTGGAGGAGGCAGCCCGGGGAGTCCCAGGCGTGTACTCACTGGTTCAGGCAGGGCGTGTAGGAGTTCTTATCCTCTTCAATGATGGAAACAATCAACGTGATGAGTTTGGACCAGAAATCCAGGTTCTTGATGCTGGGGCCCTGCTCCTCGGGCGGCACCTCGCCCTTCTTAGCCTGGGAAAAGCCCAAAGACAAGGGAAGGCATCTCGGGTCAATCGCGAGTGGCCACGCTGGCCGGCCGGGCGTGACCTCAGCTGGGATTCCAGACCCTGAGTGTTAGCTCCTTTCCATCCCAGCCCCTGGGGCCCAGGGCATGGCTGCTCCCAACACGGAGCCAGGTCCTGGCCCAGGCTAGGGTCAGGTTCCAGTGCCCCCTCCAGGCCCACATGGGAGACTTGGGCCCTGTTCTACAGTGATCGGCTTTTCAGAGCTGAGCCTTCCCCAGGCAAGGAGATCCCAGCTGGCCAACATGCCCCCAGCTCCTGCCCTGAGCCTGACATTGGGGGTAGCAGAGCTCCCCAGCATGGGAACCCAGAGTGGCACAAACAGGCAGATGGGGGAGGTGGCTCCAGCGCTTCCAAGGTTACGTAGATGGGCCAGAAACAGCGACAGGGAGGGTGGAGTCACTGCAGGGCTACTGGGTGTGAGAGCGAGCGGGGAGAAGAGGCCAGCTGGCTAAGCAGGGCTAGGGTTGCCAGGTGTCCGGTTTTCGCCTGGACTGTCCGTTATTCGGGTCCCCCGTCCAGAAAAAACCCCAGAAAATACCGGACATGTGAAATGCCCGGCATTTCCTTTTCCCTTGGATGGAAGCCCGGCGGGGACAATTCCCCCTGCCGCGTCTGGCGGGGGCGGGGTAGTGAGGAGCGCGGGGCCATTTAAAGGCACAGTGCCTTTTTTTTTTTTTTTGATTAACAACTTCGGTCTCCCCCTTTTTTTTCCTCAACAGAATTTTTTCCCAGTTTTTTTTCTTTTTGGGGGGTGTTTGGTATTTTTTGTTAAACCCTCTGGCAACCCTAAGAAGGACCTCATGCCGAACAGCATCGCGCAGGCCCAGTCCTGCCAGGCTGGGAGGGGCCACGCCCCATGCTGACCGGGAGAAGGCTGCCAGCTCCTCCAGGCCCCGGGCCCAGCCAGCAGAGCCTGCCCAGCGCAGGGACTCGGGCTGGTTGCGGGATGGGGCAGCTCGCAGGAAAGTTGAGATATTGGCTCCCCAGGAGCTGGGGGGAAGCAGCCCTGCCCCGGCGGAGGCCGACCCAAACCTCAGAAGGGAGGGGGGAGCGTCGGATGGGGAGCCCCATGGCACGGCCGTGCCGCCCACTCACAGGGTCGCTCTGGTACTCGCGGCTGTACAGCTCGTGGCAGTTGTTGAAGATGTACTCGTAGGTGGAGTTGAGACAGGCCTTCACGCAGTCCTTCACCACCTGGCTGGCCCGGGGCGGGCTCTGCAGCTCCTGCACCTGTGGGGAGGGAGATGGAATCGCGCTCGCAATGGCTTGTCCCCACACGGACTCTGCATCGCAGGACCCCCCCTTCCACACGGAGCCTCGCTCAGCGCCCGTGCACGACGCCCCTCGCGAGCTGCCAGGCAGCCCCGCGGCACTGACGTGCTGCAACCCGCAGGGTCTCCAGATGCCATTCGAGGGGCAATTAATGACACTAATCAGCATGCAGGCTCCAGCGCAGCTCCCAGAGGGGTCCCAGGCCACCGTGGGAGGGAGCCAGCCCGCCGCGGGCCCTGGGCGTTACCTTCATTCGGAAGAAGGTGATGCTAGTTAACAGATCCACCGTGGACTTGAGATCCTGCAGCCTCTCGGGGCTGCTGGCGGGGAAGTTGTTCTGTCGAGGAAGAGAGAAGGGCCGCATGACTGTGAGGAGAGCAAGCAGGGGCGCCCGGCTGGCGTTTCAGAGCTAATGGCTGAGCTGAGCACAGCCACCTGGGTTTTAACGCCAATCCTGCTCCCACTGCAAGCAGTAGGATCACTCAGGTTCACACCCCCAGCTCTCCAAGCTGGGGAAACCGAGGCACAGAATGGGGACATGACCATAGCAGAAGCTGGGCCTAGAATCCAGTGTCCTGACTCCCCCTTCAACACTCATTCACGGGACCAGCCTGGTGGCAGGAGACTGCTCGCACAGGCACCAGGGTGCCGGTGATCAGCTGCCAGCATTCCCTGCACCCCACCCCATGTGGGGCTCCTACCCTTACCCGGTACATGGACAGGTCGATCCGGAGAGAGTTGTGCAGCTGGTCCAGCAGCTTCACGAAGCGTTCCTTCTGCAAAGACACCCCCGGGAAAGAAATGTAAACTCAGGAGCAAACTGCAGCACAGCCAGCGACTGAGTCCCAGCTGGCTCCTCAGCAGACCCCGTCTGGGGACACTGGGATGGGAGCTAGCGAGAACCTCAGGGTCTGCCAGAGCCCAGCAGCCTTCCAGAGAATCCCCTTAGAGCCACCTGGCTCTCCTACCAGCTCTGCCAGCCGGCACTTAACGTCAAAGAAATGTAAACTCAGGAGCAAACTGCAGCACAGCCAGCGACTGAGTCCCAGCTGGCTCCTCAGCAGACCCCGTCTGGGGACACTGGGATGGGAGCTAGCGAGAACCTCAGGGTCTGCCAGAGCCCAGCAGCCTTCCAGAGAATCCCCTTAGAGCCACCTGGCTCTCCTACCAGCTCTGCCAGCCGGCACTTAACGTCCACAGGACTGTAAAATGGGCGCCACATTGCAGGAAAGATTTGGACGAATCAGAGAAGGTCCAGAGAAGAGCAACAAAGTGATGGAAGGTCTAGAGAACATGGCCTAGGAAGGAAGCCTGAGAGAACTGGGCTTGTTTAGTCTGGAGAAGAGAAGATGAGAGGGGACACGATCGCAGCTCTCAAGCACCTAAAAAGGATGTTACAAGGAAGAGGAAAGTAAATTATTTTCATTGGCCTCTGAGGACAGGACAAGAAGCGACGGGCTCCAACTGCAGCAAGGAGGTTTAGGTTGGACATTCGGAAAAACGTCCTGCCTGTCAGGGGGGCTAAACACTGGAATAAGTTGCTGAGGGGGGTTGTGGAATCCCCGTCCCTGGAGATACTTAAGAGCAGGTTAGACAGACGCCTGTCGGACAGTCTAGAGCAGGGGTCCCCAACGCGGCGCCTG